CCGTAGATGGAGCTCCCTGTAGGGCACGATCCGCGTGAGGGGTGCGCCAAGATCGGCGTCGGGACGCTATGTGACTTTGCACGCAAGCGCCATAAGTGGAGTTCCTTGGGGGGGTGGGGGGGGGGAAGGGGAACTGGGGCGGGGCGCCTGCAGGCTGGACTCACCGCGCTATGTTGTCTGCTGCGCGTGCCGCTCTCTCGGTCCACGGCTCCTGCTCCCCTCTCGCCTCGCTGCTGTTCTGCATGCTCCATCCGTCTCCGTGTCAGCCCGCTCTGCCCGCAGCGCGGGGTGGCCAACGCAGGTTGCCTGCGCGGCAATATACAGTACGCCATGCTGGCCGCGACGCATGGGCCTTTGAGCAGCTATGCGTCCCCCACGCTGGCACGTGATGGTGGGTTCGTACTCGCCTCCCTCGAGCTGCTCCATCACCCGCTAGAGGCTCCCAGGCGGTCTTCTCGCCTTGCGAGCTCCTGACCGAGCATGCTGTGTTGTGGCTACGGTGCCGCTTGAAGGGGGGGGGGAGGATATTGCGCGGGGCTTGCAAACGACTTGCCCGCCATTCCGCCTCGCTCTTCCGTGCCGCTTCGCAGCCGGCGCGCGCGCACTGATGTGGCCTGCCTGTCCGAACGCTTTCGCGGCGCCTGCACAACCTCACGCTCGGCACAGCTTGGTGCCACCTTCTGCTTCCTTGTCGTCATCTCGACTCTGGGGCGGGGCCATCGAGGATCTGGGCGCGATTTCCTGTGCCCGCCGTTCCTGGCCTGCCACGCCCGCTGCTGAGCCGCTGTGGAGCAGGAATAAGAGGATGCTGGGAACGGGATGTGTAGGATATCCTGGGGACGGCGGAGGAGGTGGAACGGAGCGGGACGACAACGACGAGGAAGGACTCGGATCCAGACTTGCGGCCCGCGCTGGGGCGAGAGCGCCATTCTGAACGGCGGGAGCAACTAATCGGTCCGGAAATGAGGCCACCGCTGAAGCGGGGACACCGCTTGGAAAGACCGAATACTTTCTGCTCGGACAAGCGCCATATGACAAACCATTGTTTGAACTCCTCTACGTGAGAACCACACCATTCGGGAGGATAGCTGCCCCGCTCGGGCCGGATCCGGGGAGAGAGGAACGTAGTTATCGTGTTGGGCTTGAGAGAGAGAGAGAGAGAGAGAGAGAGAGAGAGAGAAAGAGAGAGAGGCGAGAGGTGAGAAGAGAGAGGGAGAGTGGAGATTGGAAAGAAGCGAGAGGATGTTCCTGCTGCTGCTGCTGCTGATGATGATGATGATGATGATCAGGAGGAGGGTGCTGGTGGTGGTGATGGTGAATATTGTGAAGATGGTGATGGTTGTGATTATGATGGTGATGATGCTGCTGCTGACGATGATGCTGATGATGATGCTGATGATGCTGATGATGCTGAGGCCGATGCTACAGATGATGATGCTGATGCTGCTCATGATCATGCTGGAGGTTATGATGATGTTATGATGTTGCTGCTGATGATGATGCTATTGTTGTTGATGATGCTGCTGATGATGAGGACGATGCTGATGCTGATGCTGATGCTGATGCTGATGCTGATGCTGATGCTGATGCTGATGACGCTGGAAATGACGACGACGAGTAGGATGAGTATGATGATGATGACGATGATGATGATGCTGCTGCTGCTGCTGATGATGATGATGATGATGAGGAGGAGGAGGAGGAGGAGGAGGAGGAGGAGGGGGTGGAGGAGGAGGGGGAGGAGGAGGAGGAGAAGGAGGAGGAGGAGAACGGCGACCAAAGCAAACTCAATTTGCTTCAGCGATGCTGCCAGGCAGCAGGAAGGGCCTGGCGACAGCTCCGCTTTGAAAACGTGGCCGCCCTCCATCCGTGTAGCCGTTGCACACCTTTAGTTAAACATCTGGCAAGCAATTATAACGAAGTCTCAAGCGAGAGACCCGTTTCGAGAAGGATTATCCCTCTATTCGTCTGGCACTTGCACATTTGCGATGTAGTAATCGGATGTTGGGGGGGGTGATATTGAAGTGGAACGGAGGCGCCCAAACAGGACATTGATTTCGGTTCGTGTCGTTCGTGACGTGCGCGCGGGTGAGGCGAGGCGAAGCTGCGCGAGGTTCTGCTCCAGTAGAGGCCAAGTCAGGCCAGAATGAGTCGCCCCAGCCCAGCCAGGCTGTGCGGGTTGTCCCCATGGCTGCCCCGACGATTGTCGCGACGGTTGTCCCGATGGTTGTCCCGATGGTTGTCCCGATGGTTGTCCGAATGGTTGTCCCGCTTGTTGTTCCGGTGGTTGTCCCGATTGTTGTCCCGATGGTTCTGCGAGGCCATGAGCCCCATCAAATGCACTCTGCGAGGCCATACGACAAGAAAATGCGCTCGCCGAGACCACAACACGGCTACCCGAGACGTGCCCAACCCCGTCTCCACGCGAGGCGACTACCTGTATGAACCTTCAAGAAAGAACACATCGCGAGCTTGGCACGATCTGCGCCGCCCGGCACTCCGCCGTGCCACCCAGGGAGCCTGGGAAAGCGGCGACGGTTGTGCAGCTCGCAGGCCCTGAGGGAGCCGCGGGGTCTCGAAGCGATCCGCGCTGCCCTGCGCCACACCGTGCCTCCCGGGAGCTGGGGAAAGTTGCGCACTTCGCAGCCCCAGATGAGGCCGCGAGGTCTCGAAGTGGTCCGCGTGGCCCTCACCTCCGCCGTGCTTCCCAAGAGCCGGGGAAAGTGACGCCGGTTGCGCAGTTCGCAGCCCCAAAGGGGGCCGCGAGGTCTCGAAGTGATCCGGGTGGCCCTCACCTTCGCCGTGCTTCCCAGGAACCCACGACAGTAACAACAGTTGCGCAGTTCGCAGCCCCCGAGGGAACCGCGAGGTCTCGAAGTGACCCGCGTGGCCCTCACCTCCGTGCCTCCCGGGAGCCTGGGAAAGTGACGACAGTTGCGCAGTTCGCTCCCCCCGGAAGAGTGCATAGGAAGCAGGAGGAGATCGGAGGCAGGAGGAGGGGGGAAGAGGAGGATGGAGACCACAGGCTCTTTCCAAAAGGAGAACCCACCACAGGAGGGTTCAGGAAACATGAACCCTGCGGGGCAAGCATGTTAACACATCGCCCGGTGGAACACTGTTTTACTGTTGTCGCCCTGCTGGGCAATCGATACAGCAGCATGTGATGTACAGCAGACATTGGGCGTAACCATACATACATACACACATCCATGCAACCATACATACAGACATACCTACCAACCTACCTGCGTACAAACATACATACATACCCCACCCATATATATATATATACATTTACATACCTACCTACATGCATACATACATACATACATACATACATACATGCATACACACATACGTATATACATACATACATACATGCATGCATGCATGCATGCATGCATGCATACATACATACAACCATCCATAACTACCTACCTACCTACCTACCTACCTACCTACCTACATACATACATACATACATACATACATACATAGCATACAGACATATGTACATTCGTATATACATATATATACATATATATATATATATATATATATATATATATATAGAGATATCCCTATTTGGGGTATAGGTGGAGGGTCACTGAACTAGACATACACAATGATAGACACGTGGATAGGTGGATGGACACATACACCAGCAGTCCTCATGATTGTCTCGATGGTTGTCCCGAATGTTGTCTCGAGGGTTGTCTTGAGGATTGTCTCGATGGTTGTCCCGAGGGTTGTCTCGACGGTTGTCCTAATGGTTGCCCAGATACTTGCACAGATGGTTGGCTCGATGGTGGTCCCGATGGTTGTCCCGATGGTTGTCCCAATGGTTGTCCCGATGGTTGTCCCGATGGTTGTCTCGATGGTTGTCTCGATGGTTCTGCCAGGCCAGAATGCCAAGTAGATGCGCTCTGCGAGGCCATACTATAAGACAATGCGCTCTCCGAGGCCACGAAACCCGAACGCTGCGCCCTGCCTGGCAAGCACGTCAAACAGCGCCTCGTGGAACATCGTTCCGACGTCGTCGCCTTGCGGGCAAACACAACAACGAAGCATCGAAGCATGGCAGATAGTGTACATCTAGAATTGTCGACATATGTATGCAAGCGATGTGGCAGTGATGCAGACAGATATTTTGACAGGCAGGTATACAGGTGTATGGACATATGGACTAGCTGTCCCGATGGTTGTCCCGATGGTTGTCCCGATCTTTAAACAGTGAGGTCGACAGATGTATTGATCGAGATATCGAGGGATAGACAGTGAGGCCCACATTTAGTGCGACCGATACGCATATGATAGATGGGCAGGCGTAGCGAGAGCGCGGTACACATTTGCGTATGCACAAACTGATATTGGTGGAGAGAAAGTAAGATACGCATAAGTCGACTGCTATGCACAGCTGTACATACATTCACACATATGTATATGTATATGTATATGTGTATATATACATGTAACAGAGTTCATATTCATCTAGATGTTCCGAACTGCGTCCACTCGTAAGTGAAGCTGTGCGTTCAATACAAATCAAAGATGATGTCACCCCCAATCTACTTATCACCCGAGGGGTGGCCTATGAGGTAAACCTCGTAGGGGAAATCTCAGGCCCACACCCGGCCGGCCCTAGCGACACGTCTGGTGGTGCGACAGGGAGGAGTTATTCGATGGAGGGGGAGGAGGACGACGAGGAGGAAGGAGGAGAGGAGAGGAGAGAAGATGAAGGAGGGATGGAGGGAGGGCGGAGGGAGGATGGAGGAGGAGGAGGTGTAAGGGGAGGGTGCGGGAGCAGGTAGATGAGGAGGAGGAGGAGGAGGCGGAGGAGGAGGAGGAGGAGGAGGTGGACGGTAACAGTGCCGTCGACTAGGGATGATGAGAGAGACAGGTGGAGGAGGAGGAGGAGCAGTGGACGAGTGAGAGGATGGATGAGGATGATGATGAGGACGAGGAAGAAGATACGAGGGGAGGGAGGAACGCCCAGGCCTGCGCCTTCGCCCACAGCCGCGACGAGATCAGGCCCTGACCCGGGGGTCTCTCGTTCTGCTCCTACCCCTCCGAATGTGGCTGCTGCTCCTGCTGCTGCTGCTACCCCCCTCCCGCCCCTTCTGTTCGCTCCTTCTTGCCTCCCAGGAGGAGGGAGGAGGAGGGAGGAGAAGGGAGGAGGAAGGAGGAAGGAGGAAGGAGGAAGGAGGAAGGAGGAAGGAGGAAGGAGGAGGAGGAGGAGGAGGAGGAGGAGGAGGAGGAGGAGGAGGAGGAGGAGGAGGAGGAGGACGGAGGAGGAGGAGGACGGAGCGGGGGGAGGAGAGGGAGGAGGTGGTGGAGGAGGAGGAGGAGGAGGAGGAGGAGGAGGAGGAGGAGGAGGAGGAGAGTCTTCCTCCTGCTCCTCCGACGGGCGGCCACGGGCGACGACCAGGGCGAAGCCTTGGAGGCGCCAGCCCAGCGCCCGACGCGGCGCGGGCGGCGACGAGGCGGTGGCGAGGTCTCGACCGAGGCGGCGACGAGGCGGCCACGGGCGGCGACCCTGGCGAGATCTCCTCCTCCTCCTCCTCCTCCTCTCCTCCTCCTCCTCCTCCCCCTCCTCCTCCTCCTCCCTCTCCTCTCCTCCTCCTCCTCCTCTCCTCCTCCTCCACCTCCTCCCTCTCCTCCCCCCCTCCGTCCTCCCTCCTCCTCCTCCTCCTCCTCCTCCTCCTCCTCCTCCTCCTCCTCCTCCTCCTCCTCCTCCTCCTCCTCCTCCTCCCCCTCCTGTGGGAAGGGTCAGCCAGCGCGCGTGGTGGCGGCCACGGGGAGCGTCAGCCAGCGCGCGGGGCGGCCACGGGCGACCGGGCGAATCTCTGGAAACGCCAGCAAAAGGTACCGGAGAGAGGAAGTGGCAACCCCTTGCTGCAAGGTCTGTATGGGGAACGACCTCAGGACGTCCTTTTTGGGGGGCCACTCGGGGCCGTTCTGGAGAGGGTGTCGTTCTCCAGGGCCGTCTTAGAGGCCATGGGGGCGTCTTGGAGGCCTCTTGGGTTGTCTTTGTGCCCTCATAGGGGCCGTCTTGGGGGCCTCTTGGGCCGTCCTGAGGCCATCTTGGGGGTCTCTTGGGCGCTGTGGGGGCGATCTTGGAGGCTTCTTGGGCCGTCTTGGGTCGTCGGAACGCCGAACAGGAGCAAATACGAACAACTAAAGGAAAACCTACAACAAAAATGATGTTAGCCTCTTCGGGCCCTCTTGGAGGACCTCTCGGAGGCCTCTTGGGCCGTCTTGGAGGCCTCTTGGGTACCTCTTGGGCCGTCTTGGGCCGTCTTGGAGGTTTCTTGGACGAACATGGAGGCATCTCCTCCTCTCCTGGGCCGTCTTGGAGGCCATCTTGGGCGAACTTGGAGGCCATCTTGTGCCAACGTGGCCATCTTGGAGGCCATCTTGAGCCGTCTTGGAAAAAACATAAGGATTGAGATCCCTTTCAGGTGACCGGCGGCACGCGCGAAGCCCCAGGGGGAGTTCTTTTGGAAAAAGAACCAACATCAACACCGAGAGGGTTCAGCACGCCAGGCACCCTTGTGACAAGCACAGGGGGCGGCGGATCGAAGACGCCTACGGCGAATCACCGCCGCCCCCTGCCTTTTTGGAAGCGCCTATGTGGCCGAACGTTGAGGCCAGACCTGCCAAGCTATCGGACCATGTGAATCTGTTTGGAAAGCCTTCGGGGAACACGTGGGCATCTTGAAGGTCATCTTGGCCGTCTGGAGGTCATTTTGACCATTTCGGGCCTTCTTGGAGGACGTTTGGAGGGCTCTTGGGCCGTCGTGGAGGCTATCTTGAGCGTTTTGGCGGCCTCTTGGGCTGTCTTGGGGGCCTCTTGGGGCCGTCTTGGGCCTCTTGGGCGATCTTTGGGGACACTTGGACCGTCTCGGGCCGTCGGGAGGCCGAAACCAAGCAAATGCCACAATATCCTTCAAACATGAATGGGAAATCAATGATTTTGGTCTTTTCGGGCCTTCCTGGAGGCCCTCGTGGAGGCCTCTTGGGCCGTCTTGGGCCATCTTGGGCCATCTTCGGCCGTTTTGGTGGGCTCCCGTCCGACGCCGTCGGAAGCCGTTTGGGGGGCCTCTCTGGGCCGACTTGGGGCCCTCTTGGGAATGCTCCAGGGCCGTCTTGGAGGCCATCTTGAGCGTCTTAAAAGCCTCCTGGGCCGTCTTGGGGGCCTCTTGGGGCCGTCTTGGGGGCTCTTGGGCCGTTCTGGGGCCGTCTTGGAGGCCTCATGGGCGATCTTTGGGTGATCTTTGGGGGCTCTTGGGCCGTCTCGGGCCGTCGGAAGGCCGAAAAGAAGCAAATGCCACAACCCTTCAAACACCTTTAGGAAAACTAGTTTTTTTTTTTTTTGTTCTCCTTTTCTGGCCTTCCTGGAGGCCCTCTTGGAGGCCTCTTGGGCCATCTTGGGCCAGCTTCGAGCCAACTTCGGCCATCTTGGTGTGCTCCTGGCCCGTCTGACGGCGTCGGGAGCCGTTTGGGGGACCTCTCTGAACCGACTTGGGGTCCTCTTGGGGTGCTCCAGGGCCGTCTTGGAGGCCATCTTGGGCGTCTTGGAGGTCTCTTGGGCCGTCTTCGGGTCCTCTTGGGGCCGTCTTGGGGGCCTTTTTGGCCCTCATGGGGCCGTCTTGGAGTCCTTGTGGACGATCTTGGGGCGATCTTGAGGGCCTCTTGGGCCGTCTTGAGTCGTCGGAATGCCGAGAAGAAGCAAATGCCCAAGTCCTTCAAAACCCGAAGGAAAATCAACGATTTTGGCCTCTTCGGCCCCTCCTGGAGGACCTCTTGGGGGCCCCTTGGGCCGTCTTGGAGGCTTCTTGGGCGAACTTGGACGTATCGGGGACCCTCTTGGGCCGTCTGGGAGGCCGTCTTGGACCATCTTGGGCGAGCTTGAGGGCCATCTGGGCCGTCTTGGCCATCTTGAGCCGTCTTGGAGAATTTTTCGCGGACGTTGAGGTCGTTAGCGGGCCCGGAGCTCCCTCCTGGGACCTCGGCGGGACGCGCAGGAGCCCCAGGGGGAGTTCTGTTGGAAAAAAGCCCAAACCAAAACCGAAATCATTTAGCGCGCCAGGCACCCCTGTGATGAATCAACAGGGGGCAGCGGATCTAATGGTCTTCGGCCTATCCCGCCACCGTGCCTGGATTGTGTGTCAGAGTCCTCAGGGATGCTTCATCGGGTCCCTGAGGAGCGCTCTCGGGGGCTTCTTGGGGATAGTGTTGAGGCTTCTTGGGGGTAGCTTTGGGGATTCTTGAGGGTCTATTTGGAGCCTCTTGGGAACCTCTTGGGGTCCTCTTGGGGCCTCCTGTCGGCCTATACGGGGTCTCTTGCTTGGGGCCTCCTGTGGGCCTCTTGGGGCCGAGGGCTCGAGATGTCCATTCGGGTTCCCCGTCTGGGCCGCCCCTTAGGGTCGTCTTGGGGCCCAGTGGCCCCGAAAAAGCCACGCGGGGTGGCGATCCAATGCCCAGGGGAAGCGCGCCAAGCCCTGGATGATGCGAGAATTTGGGGTCTGGGCCCCGAAAAGATTCCTCAGGTTTGCGGACTAAGGCTCAGAGGATAAGGCAAAGAACCGTGCCCAGGGCACAGTGGCGGATAAGTGCTGCTCTTTCCGTGATATCCACCGCAGGTGCATGTCTGACGCCCACGACGTCCCACCAGCTTGGGTTTCTCCGACCTCGCTTTGCCCTGCCCTGCTTCCCTGACCTACCCTGTCACACCATATCCCTTTCCACCCGTTCCGCCCTTGGCTCAAGTTTTCTTTGGACTCGATTGTCGAAGGCACGTCTGTTTTGGTTCATCCTCCCTTTATCGAAGACGCTTACGGCGAACCACACCTGCCCCCTGGCATTATGGAAGCGCCTGTATGGCCAAACGTTGGGCCAAAGTCTTGCCAAGCTATTGGCCTATATGTTCCCCCAGCAATTGAAACCCTGGGGGAGACACTTGAGAGGGAGAGAGAAAAAGAGGATGAGTATAAGGGTGATGATGATGATGATGATGATGAGGAGGAGGAGGAGGAGGAGGAGGAGGCCGAGCAGAAAGAGGTGGACGAGGCAGAGGAGGCATCTTGGGGGCTCTTGAGGCCTCCTGGCGGTTTCCTTGGAGCCTCTTTAGGGCCCATGGTTGCATCTTGGGAGCCTCGTGGCAGCCTCTGAGGGGCCCTTGGCCTTCGGAGGTTGTCTTGGAAGTGCGAAGTGGCGAGAACACTAAACTCATTGAAACCCATGGGGAAAAGCAGTGATGTTTGGCCTCCTGGGGACCTCCTGGAGGCTCTCTTGGTGCAATTTGGAGCGTGTCAGGGGCCTCTTGGGCCGTCTTGAGGCCATCCTAGGCCGTCTAGGGTCCATCTTGGGCTGTCTTGGAAGCATATTGGAGCCATCTTGGGCTATCTTTGAGGCATCTTGGCCGGTCTGAGACGCCTTGTTACCGTCTTGGCGGCCATCTTAGTTAGTCTTAGCTGTTTTGAAGGCCGTCTTGCATCGTCTTGCGGCCGTCTTGTGGCCCTCTTGGGGGCAGCTTGGGTCGTCTTGGGGCCATATAGGTGGCCTTCGGGGCCGTCTTGGGTTATCCGAAGCCCGAAATTGAGAATCAAGTCAAGATTATTGGAAACCATTGGGAATCAATGATTTTGGGCATCCTGGGGGCCTCCTGGATGTCTTCTTGGAGCAACTTGGAGCGTCCTAGGGGCTTATGTGATAATATTGAGGACATGTTGGGCCGTCTTGAGGCCATCTCGGGCCTATTTTGGGCTTTCTTGGAGACATCTTGGGGCCATCTTCATGCGGGAGGCATCTTAGGATTGTCTTTCAGGCCATCTTGGGCTATCTTAGCCGTCACGGCGGCCATCTTGGACAGTCTTGGGGCTGCCTTAGGGCTTTCTTTGGGCAGTCTAAGCTATTGCCAGCTCGACATGGCGAGAACGCTAAAATCTTGAAGCCTCCTGAGGGCACTTTGGAGCTGGGACCGTCTTGCGGGCATCTTGTGACCCTGAGTCCATCTTGGAGCGTCTTGA